GCCATAATATCATATCATAATATCAACAAAGGTACCTCAAATAATATAAATATTATTCAATCCTGATACAGTAACACTCAAACATGATAAATTTAAAGTTTTGGAATAAAATTTTAAGTGCCTGATAAGATGCTAGTACAGGGATTAGACTATGCAACAAGAAATCTGTACTGGTAGGCTCCCATCTAGGAGAAAGAGGTATAACTGAAGCAACTCATGTAGGAGCATTATAAAATGTGAACTACAAAAGACAAATGTGTCTATAAAATGAAGTCTCTAATCATGACGGATGAAGTACGATATCTCAAAATACAACCTCACTGTATAGTTTTCTATATTTGGATTTTTATTTTGTTAATGGCCCCATATCATAATAATAATAACTGGCTATTTGTAAAGATAACAAAGTACTCTGATAACTTGGCATTTCATCATAGTCTATTTTAATTGCATGACTTTGTTTGGTTTAGTTCTAACCTAATAGGTAGCAGTACAAGAATGCAGCCAAGAATGCTTTGGGAAGTGGAATGTAAATGCAAACAAAAGTTTAAAGGGTCTGCCTACAAGCTAAGGGAAGTAATCATGTAGCAGTTTAGCTCAATTATTGAAAAAAGTAATTTTTAGGGGTATTCTAGAGTATAACATTATCAGGTCACAAACCTCCTCCTCTTATGATGGTACAATATGCATAATGTCTGTAATGATAAAAGTAAAATTAATCAGAATATTACAACCTACATACCAGTTTAGTTGGGAGAGTAATATGCAATAAACCAAAATACATTACACATTACACATTTTGATTTTCCTTGCAGTCAAGTACATACTTATAGATTTATAATGCCACTCAATGTCTTGGGACTATGATTTAAAGTAAAATGAAAAAATAAAAAATAAAATATCAATCTTCTAAAGTAAACTGACTTAGTCACACATGGAATCAGCACAAGTTATCATACTTTTCTAGGTATAATTTCTTACCCAGATTCATAATATAACAACCTATATTTATGAGTGTAGTGACAAAGACCATCTTTACTGTGCTTTTATTCACACACTCTATACACATTTAAAAAAAAACTACCATAATTTCTATAAACATAGATTAAGAATATGTGTTAGTGTCATTTCTTGATAACATACAAGTACTTGTATGAAAAAAACATAATTTGTTTCCTTGTTTCCTAAGAAAATCATGCAAAATGCTTTGATTCACTAATCAACAGTGAAGAAAACACAACCTACACTTCTATTAGAATTGCAAGTTAGAAAATATTTCTTCCATAAATTGTGGAAATTATGACACAAATGCAGTATCATATAACTTCACCAATTAACAGTTTCAGAATATAATATATATTGATATATATCTATCACATACATAAATACTTACCACAAGCTACTATGGTGTGTGCACGTCCACATGCAACATGTAATGCCTTCTCCGGCTTTAAAGCTGAAAGAATATAGAAAAATCCTTGAAAAAACTATATATATAAATATAAATATATATATGTATATATATGTACATATGTGTATATGTGTGTGTGTGTGTGTGTGTATGTGTGTGTGTATGTGTGTGTGTGTGTGTGTGTGTGTGTGTGTGTGTGTGTGTGTGTGTGTGTGTGTGTGTGTGTGTGTGTGTGTGTGTGTGTGTGTGTGTGTGTGTGTGTGTGTGTGTGTGTGTGTGTGTGTGTGTGTGTGTGTGTGTGTGTGTGTGTGTGTGTGTGAAAATATATATATATGCTTGATATACCCTCATCATCATATGTGAAAAATAATTTCAATATCTCTATGACTAAAGCAAAAACATAAATGCACTTTCTAATAGCGCTTGAATGAGTTCCAAAACTTCTGGACAAAACATATCAATTAGATATGTAAATATTTTCAGGGAATATCTACAAACTGAGATGTGGTATGTTCATTTCAAACTATATCACTAGCTTTATGAATAATAACTGGCCTCTTGGATGCACTGCTCTATACAAAAATATATATATTGCAAGAATTATGACATTCTCTTTCACACAGATAATGACAATATTATATGTATTCAGTCTAATACTCATTTTTATGCAAATTCACTAAAAAAAAAGCCTCTAACAAGAGGAAAAATATCCTCAAGTATATATGATGATGATGATGGATGATGATGATGGATGATGATGATGATGATGATGATGATATGATGATGATGATGATGATGATGATGATGATGATGATGATGATGATGATGAGGAGGAGGAGGAGGAGGAGGAGGAGGAGGAGAAGAGGAGAGGAAAAGAGGAAGAGGAAGAGGAAAAGGAAAAGGAGGAGGAGGAGAAGGAAGAGGAGAAAAAAGGAGGAAGAAGAGGGGAGGATTAGATTAGGAGGAGAGAGGAAGGGAGGATTAGGAAGGAGGAGGAGAAGAGGAGGGAGGAAGAGGAGGAGAAGAGGAGGAGGAGGAGGAGGAGAGGAGGGAGGAGGAGGAAGAGGAAGAGAAGGAGGAGGAGGAGGAGGGAGAGAGGAGGAGGAGGCGAGAGAGGAGGAGGAGGAGGAGGAGGAGGAGGAGGAGAGAGGAGGAGAAGGAGAGGGAAGGAGGAGGAGGAGGAGGAGGAGGAGGAGGAGGAGGAGGAGGAGGAGGAGAGGAGGGAGGAGGAGGAGGAGGAGGAGGAAGGAGGAGGAGGAGGAGGAGGAGGAGGAGGAGGAGGAGGAGGAGAGGAGGAGGAGAGGAGGAGGAGGAGGAGGAGAGGAAAGGAGGAGAAGAAGGAGAAGGAAAAGATGATGAAGAGGAACAAAAAAAAAAAACAAACAAACAAAAAAAAAAAAAGAAAAAAAAAAAAAGGATCTCACCTTTAACGCAAGATGGTTTGTGAACAGTTTTTGTAGATCCGAGGCCCAGCTGTCCCATATCATTGCTTCCTATCATAAATAATCTACCAGTTTCTGAAATAAAATTTTAATCCTCTTTTAACTAATCGGCACTGAGTAACTAGTGAGCAAAATGTGCATTAATTGTATTCTAAACACAAAGCTGATAAAAGTGAGAGTAATAATAATGATAATACAAATAATAGCAATAACATTAAAATGATGATGATGATGATAACAGTAGCAACAACAATAACAATAATATTCAATATTATTATACTATTATTATTATTATTATTATTATTATTATTTATTATCATTATTATTTATTATATTATTATTATTATTATTATATTATTATTATTATCATTATTATTATTACTATTATTTAATTATTTATTATTCATTATTCTATTATTATTATTTATTATTATTATTATTATTATTATTATTATTATTATTATTATTATTATTAATATTATTATTATTATCATTATCATTATTACATTTATTATTATCATTATCATTATAATCATTATTGTCATTACCATTATCATTATTATCATCATCATTATTATTATCATAATTACTATTATCATATATCATCATATCATTACTCATCATCATTATTATTATCACTGTTATTATCATTATTATAATACCATTATTATTATCATAATTATTATTATATATTATATTAATTATTAATTATTATTATTATTATTATTATTATTATTATTATATTTATTATTATTATTATCATATTTATTATTATTATCATTATTATCAATTATCATTATTTATCATTATCATTATCATTATGTTATCATTATCAATTATCATTTATTATATATATATATATATCAATATTATCATTATCATTAATATTATCATTACTATTATCACCAACATTAGCATTAACATTATCACTATAATCATTATATTATCATTATTATTATTATAATCATTACAATTCCCATTTTTATCATTGTTATCATTATCATTATTATAATTATCCTTATTAACATTGTCATCATAACCACCATTGTTATCATAATCACCATCATTATTCATTATCATAAATATTATCATTATTGTCAATATTATCACCATCATCATTATAACAATTATCCTCTGGCTTACCCGTGATAACAGCAGTGTGTTCATCTCCACACGCAATTTCCACAACAACGTCATTCTTGATCCAGAACTTTGACGGCACATTATCGGCAAATCTACTTTTCCCAAATGTAAAAACTGCCCCTGTATCTGTAAGAGAGAAAAAAATTGCTTTGAATATTGAAAGAAAGTTTGGGATATCTTATTTAATACACATATGAAGTGAATAATGTTCCTTACTGAAACGTGTAACCATTCAAGTGTTTTAATATATAGCACACCTTAACTTATATCAACTATTATAAACAATGGTATATAATGTATTGATTATCTTTTATAGATTTTGCCTTATTATTCCCTATTTTTTTACATATATGTAAGAGTAAAGATCAATTCCTAGAGAACGCAATTTTTTTGTTACAGAATAATCAAAATGTCACTGATTGCCACACATTTCTACTTTCCATGATATTGCTGTACCATATAACAGTTATTGCCTATTATGCCTGCCCCTGGCATAAGAGGGCATAAGTTGTGGGGGCGAACACTACTTATGCCCTACAGAAACCATCAACCAAATTGTATCATAATCACCTAGTATACATGGAGAAAATATAACATCCTTAAAGTTATTCTTGCAATTAGCATACATAAATATAATTTACTAGAAATTTTACAAAGTAAATATGCACCTCAATTTGGTGAAAACATTTTGTACAGTCACTTTCACCATCATGTATATATGCATTCCCAAGGTCTTCCTTGACGGGTTTTCATGGTGTACGCTTTATAGGTCTCTCTGCCAAGCTATCAATATGTGAAAAGGTCATTCCAGGAAATCTCAATCGATACCTAGTTCTCATCCTTGTTTAATGCTGTGAGAGTCAGAATGTAAGATGTTTCTTAGACCCATGCAATGGAATGCAGAAAAAAGGTCTAAGGGGTGGCAGCCCCAGCCATCCAAAATGGGGTGGGGGTCCAATCAGAGAGAGAAATAAGTGTGACTTGGAAATTTTTTTATCTAAATA